CCAACTAGCCCACAGCATAACAGAACAGAAAAGGGCAGAACAGTGTAGGCTGGGACATTTTTGGTTAACACACCCTACCTTATGAAAAATACCATGTGACTGTTTAAATAATGCATTATTTTTATTGATTTAAAATGTATTTTAATTATAAATATTAGTTACATACATACATACATAAATGCACTCACACAAACACTATTATTTATCATCTTATCCTTGACATGTGATATACAATGTCCACATGGAGCAGCTCGGACCTCATCTACTAAGGTGTCATTCAAAAAAATGCTCACATAGTAAAGTGCATGGAAAACTATCTACTTCAGAAGGATGAAGGACTTAGGTGGATGTTGCTGGAATTCAAATTTATGGTTCTAAGAGGTTTAATTGTTTCACACCTAGTGTTTAAGCACTTGGCATTTGCAAACCTAAGACATGCACGGGGAAGTCTACTGGACCTAGAACAGGCCTTCCTACTTCGGAACCATGCAGAACAGGCTTTGTAAGATGTAGAACAATCTGAAATGTAGACTTTCTATGAGCTGAAGCTGCTGGATGTGGAATCTACTTTATACATAACAAAAAGCTTCTGAAATTGTCTCTTCTATAAATGAAGCCACCAAAACAAACTTTCATTGGGGGGAAGCCACACAATAGAGATTTCCTTCCTTCCTTCCCAAGCCATCCACTACAGGCTTTGCATGACCCAGTCCCACCAAACTGAACAGACTTTTCCAACACCAACTTTACCCAACAATCAATGATATAATGGTGTAAAGGCTTAAGAAAGGGATATAGGAGTCTGTAACTTACAGCAAAGATTTTCTTGCATTTTTGGACCGGTTCCTACAGTAAGAATATAATGGATCTAAAAAATATGGTAGGGGATATGTCCCCCCACCAATTTCTCCTTTGGTTATTTTTATACAAGAACTGATTTTTTGTAAACACTCCAGAATCATACAAAATGGGCTTCTTACAAGCCTGATGTACCCAGAGCCATCCTTTTGCAAACATCTCTCCCTGAGACAAGCTTTACATGATCCTAAATTACTCATTTCTACATCCCTCACCCACCTATTTGAAACTAAATGAGAATTGTTTTTTTTTTCTAGCTTGTATTAACTGGGTTGAGCTTTCTGAATGTAGACCCACCTAGAACAGATTTTATGATGACCCCAAATAACTCCAAAAAGTATTTCTATGATTCATATACTATCATGACTCTTGCAGTAGCTAATATTTTATACTTCAGAGGAAGGTCAAAACCTCACCTACCTACTATATCCACCCAATTTTGCAGAGCTGATATGCAAAATAAATGCAAAAAGCTATTAAAGGTTGTATGAGGGTAACAATCCTCCTTAGTGATACTTAAGGTTCTGAAATATCTGCTCTAGATCATTTGCTATTTGAAAATAATTTCTTATGGTCATATGTGGTGAAGAGTTCTGTTCAAGCATTTCCCATTAAAGGGTGTATCAAAGGCATTTTGCCAGAGTTGATCTGGAAGAAAAACAAGGCAACCTTGGAACAGAGATTTGAACAATTTAGCTACGTAACTGACTCTAGAAGAATGAAGGTGACTCTGCACAAATACAGCTCTACTGTGGTAAGGAACAGGAGTTAAATGAATATTTTGAGAATTTCAAGGGAATTTGAGTAGAACACTAGGTCAAATTCTGCCCTCAGTTACTCTAAAAAAAGAAGAACAGGAGGACTCGTGGCACCTTAGAGACTAACAAATTTATTAGAGCATAAGCTTTCGTGGACTACAGCCCACTTCTTCGGATGCATATAGAATGGAACATATATTGAGGAGATATATATACACACATACAGAGAGCATAAACAGGTGGGAG